AACGCAGCCTTCTCCCATTCGTACTCTTGTGCCACAAGAGAAAAAGGGCAGGGGGAAGGTGAACCTTCTCAGGTCAGATTGCACACGCGCTCCTGGAAGCATCCCTGAGACAGAAAGGGTGGCATTAGCCCCTGCTTCAGGCATTCACGTGCTCACATAGCTCACATATTGGTTCAGGCTGTGACCTTGGAATTCCTCTATATAAGCTGTCCTTACATAAGCTGTTCAGGTGTTGTACTGAGGGAAATGGTTTATTGGGAAATACTGGTGATAGGTAGACACTTAGATGCCCTTTTTCAACCTTGGATATTTCGTGATTCTATGGAAGTGTGAAGGAACCAGAATATCTCTGGTTGTGGAAGAGTATGTCAGAGGATGTCTCAGTCTGTGTGCCTATCAGGCTAACGCCAGGTTTTGAGAAAAGTGACAGGAAGTTATATTTAAAATAGATCAAACTTTGTTTCAAAGAAGCAGTATATAAATTGACTTCTCTTGTATGTTCATTTGTATTGGTTGTAGTTGTTGACATGACTTAGAATTTATTTGCTTTTTAGATATTTCTTTTATTCTTAAATATACTCTAGTAAAGACTCACAAAACCTTAAAGTTAACTCCATTGGTCTTACAAGCATATTAGATAGGATACATTAGCTCTGAATTGGACAGCTGATCCTTGTTGTTTCTTACTGTCTTAACTGTATCAATTTACTATACTGGAAAATAAGCTTTACTAAAAATTCCAATATGAGAAACTAAAAAACTGCTCTTTTTTTTTCACATTCAGTCTTCAAGGAGACAGGTTTCAAAGCATTTAAATGCTCAATTTCCACTGACTGCTAATTGCAGTTAAACACCTGACTTCCACTGACAAAGTCAGTGGAGAGTTGCTCCCTTGGGTACCTTTCATTTAATCTTACTGAAAATAACACTATAGGTCACATAACTAAGTAGCTTAGTTTACAGGTCACATAACTAAGTAGCTTAGTTTATTAATTACAGCTAAGATTTCTTCACTGCTGGTTTATTTTATAAATATTAAATATTTTAGCCTTCCTCAGTAGCAGTGGCCATTTTCATGTCCTATCATCTTAAAGTTTTATTAAGCAAATATTCAGTTATTACTGTATATAAAACTCTCATTAATCTGATCTTTCAATTTATTTTTCCCATGTAATTGTGGGTTTGTTTGTTTGTTTATTTTGGCAAGTTGTTTATTTTATTACAGTGCAGTGAAAAGATATCTAAAAGTGGACAGGAAGAAATTGTTAACTTTCCTGAAACAATTAATATACTTAATAACACCTAAGGAGAATGTTCTGACAGGAATCACTATTTTGTCTGTTAAAATAAATTAAAATAGGTTACAATCAGGAGGCCTTTTTATTTCCATTATGTATTTTATAAATATTTTACCTAAAATGCTTAACATAAATGAAAAGTTAGTTGTAGGATGACTCTATAACATGTTATTTTTCACCTGTCATATCTCAAACCTAACCTAGCAGTGAAATATTCATGAGCTTTTCTTCATGATACTCACATGACTGTAGATATATTTATAATTTGTTCTCTTCTGAAGTCACAATGTCATGGTTTCCAACTAGGTAATTTCAGTGATAATACGCAGTAGATAATGGAAAATGAAATTCATTTCTGTTCTCAAAGCAAGTCCCTTCAAAAGCCAGAGTGAGCCACATTGTTTAGGACACATATGGGATGTTATTGTACTTTTAAGTCCTGTATTTAGGGACACTGCCTCTCCATTGTATTTGCACTGTGCTCACTTTTTTCAATGAGATGTTTCTAACTAAGAGAATAGCTAAAACACTACAGAAGACTTTGAGTTTTCAAATTCCATTACTTTGTTCTATGGAAAGATGCACTTGAGACACACTAAGTATTCCAATATCCACTGGTGAAACAAACATAAAAAATATTCACAGATATCAGAGAAATGTGCAATCTACTCTAAGGATCCTGCTTTAGAAAGGGATTTAACTAGGTGATCTCCAAAGGTCCCTTCCAACCACTATGATTCTGTGATAAAGTTCCTTTCTTACCTAGCATAAGAAGTATGAAGCAATTCTGAATAAGTTTTTAGAGCTGCTTATTTTTTCTTTGAAAAACCAGTCTTCTTACCATTCTTAGTTGTTTGGTAAACAAGGAAATGCAGACCAGAATTCCTTTAAAGAGAGAGCAGAAATAAATTTGGCTACATATGAATTCTGTAAAGATGTGAAATTTAACAAAGTCTACAGATAAATAAAAAAAGATTGAGAAGAACAAGAAAAAAATTACTTCCTTTTAGAAATGATATGAAAGATTTTTGAATAGAAAGGCATGAAAGAGGTGAAGCTACAATATAATGAATAATGTTTACTCAGACAGACTTCAGGTAAATGAAGTTTTTACAAGAGAAAAAATTGTCTTTAATCAGTAAATACAGTAATACTAATTCCTAACAGAAAATCACTGATTATGGAGGACAAATATTGGGAAATACATAAATAGTTCTACTTGTACACCTACAAGTACTACTCAAACTTTTTTTTTTTTTTTTTTCCTAAAAATAGTTCCAAGTTGATACATACATAAGAATGATTGGCTTGGAGAAATCAAATGGAAATTCATCTGAGAAAGAAATTTTACTATATTTCTTTGGATTGTAGGAACACAGATAGTTGACATCTAGTTATGTGTTTATCTTTGCTTAGTTTATCTGTACAAAGTAAATTTCTGATGATTGTGAAAGTGTGAAGAATCACCATCATTTAGCCGGAAGGCAGAATTTTTCTGCTTAGTGAAGAATATGTGATTAACTGAAGGCAATTCTGATAATTTACATCTACATCAGGTTTTCTTGCACAACAAGTGAATCAAAACTTTGTGTTTAGACAGATTTTTAATCAGAATACAGGTTAAAAAAAAGGCTTGCATTTCCATGGTTATATATCATTAACTCACGATGGAATAACATTGTCATGCAGTACAAATTTGAATGATTTTTCCCCCATCATAATTTCACACCGTAATGCCAGCATGATAGACTCATAATGGGCTCCCTATAGACACATGCAGAAATCATTTTGTCATGGTTATCTCACCTCGTAACAGCATAGAAGGTAGTTGATCTCCATGGTCTTCCATTAAACTGTCACATCACTGTTAAAATTCTCTGTTTTGGGAAATGGTGATGGTACATCTTGAATGCTGCAAAAAATAACTACTTCATTCCTCATACAGATTACTCTGTTACTCATGAATGAGAGGGAAAATCATTTTTCAGTAGTTAGTGATGACAGAGACTAACCATTTTCTTTGTTTATCTGTCTCAAAATGATCCCATGAACATTTTAACCCTAATACTAACTGTCATGGTTCTATGTTTTTGTTTTTTTGTTTTTGGATTTCAGTATTCCACATCAAAACATCATGTAGTGTACGGGGCATTAAAGTGTCACTGCCCCAATCCCAGCTACCTATCCCTGTACATTACAGCAGTCACGGGATCTGGCCTTTCCGGGTGGGGGGGGCGCTCTCTTGCTGCCTGGCAGTGGGTGCTGGAGGGTGCTTTCCTGGCCGTTCCAAGCTTTTCAGGTTTGAATCGGTCCCGGGAACTCTCTCTCTCATCTTGTTTGATTTATTAATCTCAATTTCAATTAAATTGTACATATTGTGTTATCTTGTATTCCAATATTATAGTAAAATAAGTTTTCCTCCATAGATTGTTGCCGCTGCTCTTTTCCTCCCTTCCTTCCTTCCCATTTTTTGTGGGACTGGGGTGGGGGGGGAGGGCAGAGGCCTGCCGCCCCTGTCATGGACATAGATTGATCTGGTCAACTCCGTGAGATAACTCTCATAGCAATATTTATGTTTCTTTGTATTTGTACTTTGCCTTGTCCTAACTTTTGAGTCTAAACATGCATTTTTTCCTCATTACTGTTTTTTTTTTTTTTTTGCTAAGTGTATAGCTCAGTCACTCCCTCAGAGGATATAAACTTGATTTTTGATATTTCTGAGTATTAATTTCTCACAAATGTCTTTTTCTGCCTGTATCTCACCATAGCTTCATACATATTGACTGAGATCCTTAATGGAAGAGAAATGTATTATGATGTTCTTCCAAGGAAAGAAACTAAACTCACTGTGCTTGACTCTAACTTAAGTTCTTTTAATTTAATAAAATCTTTCATCTTAATAATAAAACCAAAAAGTAAAATCAGTTTCAACACACCAGAAAAGCATGCTAATGAGAAGGTTATCTCTTTGAATATTTAGCAGACAAAATATATCTGGTACACCTAATGTGTCCAAGGATTTGTCAGAGCAGACATAAAGAGTGGGCCAGGAGAAACCTTGACTGAAGCGTAGGTAGAGAAAAATAAGAGGCACCATGTGGTGTAATCTCCAACCTAGGATAGAGTACAGTGCCCAGGAACCAGACTGAGCCCTAGGATAGTATACTGCCATCCAGATCTCAGCAGGCAGAGAACAGTGACTCCTTTGAACTAAGCAGCAGCAGGTAGTGGCCTGCAGATCACCTATTTCCTGATTTTATTTGATGTCAAAGGTGATGCTCTGCTTTCCAGGCACTTGGATCCAGAATGTAGTGAAGAGAGTTTTCAGGCCTGATTGGCTCCCAAGACATCTCATCTGCTGCTTTTCTACATAGTCAAAAATAATGTCAGAGAGACACTGGGAAAGAACACTCAGGGCATTGGGACCCTAGCAATAGTCTCCTTGATCCTGCTTGTGAAGGTAGAAGGCTTGAGGAGGAACATAGGGCAGCAAGACAGGTTCTGGCTAGATATAAGATAAAGCCTTTCAGCAGGAGGATGTTGAGAATGGGCTGGCCACAGAGGTTGTACAGTCTCTCTCTTTGGATGTTTTCAATACAATGCACCTGAGTAACCAGATGGGGTGGATCCTGGCTCCACCCCTTCTCAGACCTCGTTTAAGGGTTGGCAGTAAAGGCAAATGTGCTTTGCTGGGGATCCCTACCTACCAGAGGCCCTCTGTAGGTAAGTAGCTCTTTTCCTTCATTTCTGCATCTGTGGTTGCTGTGTTTAGGCTTGTCCTGGTTTGCTGTAGCCGAAGACTTTGCCATCCCACTATTGTTACTGTACTTTCCACCACATTATAGCATTACAGTTGCTAACAGCTAGACCAGGCTGCCCAGAGCTACATCCAGCCTGGCCTTGATTGCCTTCCTGGATGAAGCATCCACGACCTCCCTGGGCAGCCTGTTCCAAGCGTGATATGGTCTCATAGCTGACCCAGCTCTGAACATGCAGCTGGACTAGATAGCTGTCTGAAATCCCTTCCCTGCTGATTTATTCTGAATTTATAAATCTATGATAACTACATCAAAGATAGATAGTAATTCATTTTACTATTTTATTACAATTCAATTGTTTTGGTTTACAGGAATATACAAATCTGAACGATAATCTTGTATGTTATAGGATTTAAATTTCCTGTACTTAAAATATTTCTTTCACTTTCACTTATAAATTCACTAGATTTTGAATCACTACTATATATGCTCTCCTATTTTTGAGTATTGTCCTAGTTTTGATTTTATTTTCAGTTCTGAGATAGAAAAATATTCAAGATGGTACGTTTGGCTTGTAAGTCTTCAATGCAGTTATTCACAGAACTATGTATCAACTGCTATATAACAATCAGAAGAATTAAAAATAAATAAATAAATAAACATATTTTTTTCCCTCAAACACTTCAAAACCGCTCTATAAGAACGCCCTTCAACTATCTCCTTATTTCTTTACAAAACCACAAGAACATACTGAGTTTAGTCTGTTATCCACTTTGATTTCTTAAGTACCCCAAAGAGAAAAATTATGAATTCAGCTTTAGAGTAACCTTTAGACTAAAATAACCTATATATATAGTTTTTCTCAGAATTAATTTAGCAGCACTCTGGCTTAAATAGATCTAAATTTGGAATGTAAATGGAAATATAATAGTGGTTCGTTGGCTACTTGGAAAACTTATAACTGTTGCACCTGACAGTGTATTCAGAGTAAGAGTGATAACAATTAATTAAAAGATACATAAGGAATATTTTTGTTATTACTTTTGGGTTTCTATGATTTTGAATTCTTGCTACACTATTTATTTGAGAATTTAAAGAAATTCGCAAACAGAAAGATTAAAATGTATAAGTCAGTATCTCTTCTAGTGGTAGAAGCACAAAACACAGAGCATAAGAAATTGATTCAAAAATTCAGAACTACATCTACACTGGGATATAATGGAAATTACCTTGATTAGTATTTAGCAGTCTATTACCACACCCTGCCTCTGTAGGTGCATCACCATGAACAAGCAGGACTCTCAACTCCCAAAATCATGTGAGAGAAAAATTTCCTTCTTATTCCTGTCACATGCTCAGAAGGACAATAAGAGAAGCACATTCTAATACGGTATAGTACTCATGAAGAGCAGTGATCACAGCAGTGAAAACATGACATCTTATGAAAATTTTACAATTATAAGAAACTGCATTTCTGATGGCTACTATGGAAATGAGCTTGTTGTATGGGACAGCCCTCAAAATCTTGAGGAGTATAGTTCTCTAGTCAGCTTAATCAGACTTACAATTTTATTATCTAGGATATTTCTTGCTTAGTGACATTTATTCCTTTTAAAGTTACATTCTCCATAAAGAGAAATCACACATTTTCAATCTCTTCAAAAAGACATCTTTATTGCCAGTTAAGCCACTGGTGAGGGTGACACAGTGTAGATGACAACCCATATTGGGTCTGGATAATGAAGTTTATTTAAGAACTAATCAGATTAAAGCCTTTACCACGCATGGTTTTGCCACACCCACTTGCTCCTCTTCATCATCTCATTCACTATGTCTTGACTTGGTTGGAAATCCATGCAGATTGTCCCACTGGTTCCTTGTGAGCTGCAACTCAAAGCTTTTAGTCTTAAGAATACCATGGCATTTGTTTCCATGCATACCTCTGATCTCCAAAGAGACTCCATTTACATCTTTCCTCCAGCATAGATTTTTGCCACTTTAACAGCCCCCTTCTCTTCAACACCTCTTCTTTCCAGATTCTCCTCCTTTTAAGCAGTAGATTTTTTTTTCTATGGTCTCTCAGCTCCAGTTTTCTCACTCTGTGCCAAAGTGCAATGGTTGATCAGCCTCCTAGTAGGTGTTTCTGTTTGATATTTCTCTGTTAACTGGCAGATTCAGGACATTACTCTTTTAGCTGGTCTAAGTAGAGTAAAAATTAACAGTAAGACACCATGATGACTGCAAGGTACAAGCTTTCACTTGAGAGTATTAAAAATCAGTTTCAGATATTCACCCATACCCACATCCTATTATCTGCTATTAGCATTTACAGTTTAGGCTTCTTTTTCCTTTATTTCTTCCCAAATATGATATATATTAAGAACTTCTATTTGTGATTATCATATTTCAAGAATGTTGATTTGACCAGTTTCACTGGGAGTCATATGCAGCATCTCTGTTACTATACATTACATAAAATTAGAGAGCCTCAGTCATATCTTTTTATGACAGAATTTGTACAGGTTTAACTACTAAGAGGTAAAAGTTAACATTTAAGTGCTAGTTCAAATGCTACACCCAATATTGGTCATTTCAGTTTAAATTCAGTGTCCAAGGTATTTCTGAATTTACATTTGACTTTTTCCCTGAGTAAAACTGTGTACTGAATACTTTGCTTATACAAATAGCTAATCTAAGAAGACTTATGAATCTTAGCAGAATATTAATAATTCCACAACTCCTGAATTATTTAAAACAAGTTCACAGTGCTCCATGAGTCCAGAGGAAAAAAATTGTATCCTTGCTGGGCAGCAAAAATATCGTGGTTATACACATGATAATTTTAGTCCCTTGGATGGGAAAATTCCCATCTGGTTACTATAGTCCAGATGTGCAATTATTTCCAATACCACTTCTCCTTTTTATTTCATTAACACTCAATTAATCAAGAATATTGATTTGATTTTATTTTGAATTGTGTTAGAAAAAATAAATGTAAAGAAATTACTGGGAAAAAAGTAACAAAAAAAAAAATCCAACGAGAGCAACAACAAAACAGCAGCTGCAATGAGAAAAGTAAGCTAAAGTCCAAAGTAAACAAATTAAAACAACTTAAATCCTTGTAAATACATTATCTTTAGTATATTTACACCAGGGAAGATTGTGATTATGCAGGTGTGTTATATTTTCTTATGACTGTGCACACTTTATAAGTTATTCTCTTTTATTCAGCTGTAAGTCTTGTTATTCCTTTTATTGAAGCTGCAGGTCAACATATTCAGAAAGTGGTTCCTTAGGCATAGATATATAAATGAAAGAGTTGTCACTGTGTTGGTATGTTTAACAGTTAGCTTGGAACAGAGCTCTATTGGGTGCCCTTATAACCTTTAGTCAGTGCAAGATAGCCAGGAGCTGTTCACCTGTCCTTAGTTTTGTTTTGGCTTTATAATTTTGTCTGCAGTAATTGTATGTTTTCAAGATATTCATGTAATAAATAAATAAATGAGTAGAAAATAAAAAATGCTGTTCCCAACAGGAATGGAAAAAGCCACTCTTTAAAAAAATAAGAGTTCACGGGACCTTTGAAATCTAGAATGGGTTTCAAGTAAATCCTGAAGCTCCTGCTCTAGCACAAGGATATTCAGGAAGCCCCAACCTGTTTTGCAGTTTTCATCTGATCACCCTATCTGAGGCAGTGGTTTTCTGTTTGGGCCCACACATTATGGTTTGTGTACTAAGAATCTCTCCCATGCAAGCCCTTCTTTATCTTTCTCCACAAGGACGAATCATGCAGGTTTTCTTTAAATAATTGAATAGATGTACTCTGCTATGTGTTCTTAATTCCTACTGAAATTTGTTCAGCAGCCTTGAACTGGCTGTCAAGAAAGCTTTATCTCTAGTACAAATAAGTGTAACCCTTCTAGTAGACAATTGTAATGTGTCTGTTCTCTCCTTGTTCTGAAATTTTCTGATATTTTGTTATCCTTGCCTCAGACTGTGGTGCTTAAAAAATAAAAATATGATGTGAAATCCCATAGGAAAGTTGGATAGTTTACAGAAAAAAAGTTATCCAGGTTATGGATGCTCTCTAGGTTATGGTAGTTCAGCACTGTGTACTTGAAGTCTGGAAAACCAATGATATCCTAGCCTGAATGAAAGGAAATATGACAAGCAGCTTGAGGGATGTCATTGTCCCCCTTCTCTGCTCTCATGAGACCCTTCTAAAAGTACTATATTTAGCTCTGGGGTCTGCAGCATAAGAGGGGCTTGCACCTTGGAGCTGGTCAAGAAGAGGGTCATGGGCATGTGTCACTTCCTTGACATAATCATAATGTGGATTACTTCATCTATAGACATGTCCTTTCTGCTAAGAATTAGAAAGAATTATTTAGATCTACTTCTTAAGTGGTAACTCTCATGTATAAAGTATTAGAAATGTGTTTTCATTCCACACTTTCTATTGGAATAACTGCATTTTTAAATTATTTTTTTTTCCAACAGATTCTTGGATTATTTATGACACACTGAAAATATTTTCATTATTTAGTCCTTAACACTTGTCTTTCAAAAACAAAATAAAGCTCAATTGTTGACATATGAAATATGAGTATGAGCTCACTGCATGTCTTCACAGTTCTATAAAATGACTCCTTGTATTGTTTCCCATTGAATTATGTTCTTTTCCATTTATTTTTTTTTATACTTTATTCTAATTTTTCATTAGCTCAAAAAATCATGGCTAAAGAAACAGATCCCTAATGCCCAATAGCCAAGACAAATTACTTTGAAAGAGTACTTTGGCAAAAAAGAAAAAAGAAAAAAAAGAAAAAAAAAAAAAAAAAGCAGCAAACTATATCCTTAGAAAAAACATAGCATATTTACTAAATGTATAGTCTTAGAAACTGTCAGTTACCAATTCCTTCCTTGCAATAATTTAAGCTCCTTTAATATTTTAATTTGTGTTTC